ATGTCTATTTAAGCGTTATATGACAGTATGTTTGCACTAAGTACCGCAGCAATTTCCTAATGTTGTAAACCTGCTCAACATTTGGCAATAAAACCCTTTCTGATTCTGATTCTGAAATGCCAGTGTGGCCACTGTGTACAATACCTGAGACTTTGACCAAGAATAACCTCACAAACAGAGTCTGGTAGTAGTTGGAAAAATAAAATAGAGGCGTCAACACTGCAGACAATGAAATTAATAAATAGGGGGGCCCCTTTAACTTTCATTGCTATGAAGCTCTGGATTGAACAGTTCCACAATTCACTGTGCAGAAAGCCCCAAACAGCTGTGTTTGCAGCAGAGTCATCTTTTCTTAAGCAGCAAAGTGCATTTCTCAATGAAAGCTAATAATCCATAAGTTCAGGGATCATAGAGGAAAAACAAACAGAGTTCTGGGTTTTATTTAATAATTTTTAAGTTAAAAAAAGAGCAAGAATATTAAACTATGGAAATCGAGGTGCAGGAGTGGGGAGGAAATAAGAGTTTGTCCCAAGTCTCTGCTTTATTTTGATTGTTATAATAGACAGAAGTGCAGGTAAAAGCATAAAATAATTAATGCTGGTTAAATGTTTTAGGAAAATGTATTGCAATCAGTCACTACCTTTTTGATCCACACATATCTAAAATCTTTGTATCTTCCCTGCGATCCTTTGCCTTCAGTTTTGCTCTGTTTAAGGGGAGTAGACTCACCCATTTATGGCACACAGGTTCTATGTAATCAGTTCAAAGAACTTTGTCGCAGAAATCTGCTGGTTTCTTTTTCTGGCTTGTCATATTTTGGTGAAACTGGTCATATTCTTTCCTGGTAAACTCACCTATAATATATTAGTTTCATGACAGGAGTTTTAATATTACCAGTTTTGTTTTTTGTTTTTTTTAAATCTTATAAGAATCATATTCTCATTTACATTTGGTTTGTTCACCTCTTTTCTTCTCATATTGATAAGACTGCTACACCTAAATGAAAACTTTTGGACATCATTTTTGTACTTGAACCACACACACCGGCAAAAAAACACCCAATAACCAAACATAACAAGTGCCAAATTACTTCTGCTAGGCAGAAGGGCTGTATTTCACTTATGTGTAGTGATAGAAACCCAAGAAAAGGCAAAGAAAGTCCAGAGACTTTGGTTATGAGATAAAGTTAGCAATACTCATATGTAAAGTAGCAATGACATGCTTACATTTGTTAATTGCCCCTTGGGGATAAATAAAGTCTTTCTGATTCTGATTACATTGTAGACCAGGGCCCATGAGAGAATAGCAGAAATATCCAAACTTGCGTACACCATACAAACACATTGTCCCTGCTATGTAACTTGCCTGCTAGGTGGTCTAATGACACATATTCCAGTGAGTAATTCCGTCTGCTGCCATTGAGTTTTAGATGGGGCCATATCCGTGATCCTAAAGGACACACTTCCTTACACAGAACATTAAAAGCCTGTAGAGCTGCTTTCCAAACTTCCCTCTGATTTTGTCATTCGCCATTCCAAGTAGAATACACACTGGATTACATTCAGTGTCAGTAGAAAAGATCTTATCTGGTTCATACTTTATAACCCATTACTATATTTCGAACTGAAAGTGCTGCAGCACATTCAAAAATAAGAAAAATGTGCAACATTTTGCAAACACTTACATGTCTGCCTAGTTTATACTAAATTATTTACAACAACACTGAAGCTAAAATGAAGGTAAATTAGTTTTCTCTCAGAACTACCAATAGTTTTTCATTAGT